TTCTGTCTATTAGGTGTAGGCTAATAAAGGAGCTGAACTGATTCTGGACTGTCTCGCTGTTGTTCTTGGGCTGAACCTGACACTAGGCAATGCAGTCATGTAACCTCTCGTTTTACAACCGCATTGCTTAGCAATGGAAATTCTGGTCCCAATTGTGGTTGTAAGTCGAGGACTATCTATGCATGAGTAAAATCAAGAAAATTTTGTGACAATTTTAGTTTCTGTTGGAATATATATACAAAAGAGAAATTCGTTATGTGACTGTGGCTCATAATCTGAAAACCACCAAATTATGCTTAATTATCTAAATTGGGAGTAGACAATCTGGTGCCCTACAATTATTTTTTACTTCAGTCACCATCAGTTTCAAGCAGCATGGTCAAACGTAAGGAATTGAGGGAATTATAATTAAAACATTAGGAATTTGCCTATTCCTAACTAGGTAATCACGCAAAGCCATAGTAAGACTACTTTATATAAACACCCTTTCCACTCCTCTTCCACTGATTCATAAGAAGTTCTCTGTTATGTACAAACTCATAAAATTGTAATTTATCCTAATTAATTGGTTAAAAAACTATAATTTAATCCTATTTTAATTAAGAGTCAGGATAAACCACAGTTTTCTACATTTAACTACTTTGAAAACTAGAATTTTGAGTTGCATCTGATCTTGAGAAATTTTGGCTAAACATATGGTTTATAAACTAGTTGATATCAGAAAAAGATCAATGCAAAATATTCCTATTCAATACTTGCTATCTTCAGGTAGATTTAGAAAATGTTGCCTATCTTTATGCAGAGCCATAAAGAATCCATGTAGATCAGCAATCACCAGACTGGTATTCTTAAAATGCTTTGAACTGCTACTAGCAATCACAGGTCACTATGGACAATGGCCAGAAATGCTGAGAACAGTAATCCAGAATATCTGGAAAACATTAATTGGGAAAGATTGGTGCAGACATGTATTAATCTAGGAGGACCAATAAACTAGATGGACTTGGTATAATGCAGCATCCCTGTTTCTAATTACTGTTTGACTAATTTAAACTGACCTGAATTTAGAAATAAGATTATAGGTTAGTTTAAATGTAATACAATCAAGCATTCAACTTCCTGTTTACAACTTCCCCAGACACTTTATTTAAAATTAAATTTATTTTTAAGAATAAAATGAAATCAGGTGAGGCAGAGAACCTGGAAGGTGTCAAGGGAAATACTGGCAGGCCCAGTGGGGCCCACAGCCCCATGTCAAGGACCCAACATCCAGAGTATTATTAATGTGATTGTCTGAACCGGACCCTAGAGAGTTTGTTGCCACATAAAGCGTGAAAAAGTTCTAGGAATTATTCATGAAAAGAGTTTTCAGCTTTTAGTATGTGCTATATATTAATATTAATTGTTAAAGCTTTGATTTTAAGAACTCATTGAGTCTTTTATTCTGTAATGAAACATACAAAAATGTGACAGCTTTGTTCATTCTGTTTCTTTATTAAAAGCCTAATGGACAATAACTGAATTATTTTTTTTCTATTCTTGCTTGAATAATTTAGTGACATTTACTGCTTAGCAAGGTTATAAATATTTTTATGTTCATTCAAGTTCATGTGATTACGCCTACATAGCAGTCAGCAAGCAAGCAACTGAGTTGATTCTATTAATATTAATACTGCCAACTTATGTTCTTTCCATTATACTGCAAGAACTGCTGGTAATCTTATTTCCAAAAAAAATGATGTATTTACAAAAGTATGTTTCATCCATACATTGTTATTGTGACCCGAGTGTTCCTTGGCAGTATGTTCAATTTAATCATTTGTTAGTTTACTTGACCAGATGTGCTTGCTACTTCTATTGTTCCACAACAGTGAAAGGTTTTAGGGGAATTATCTCTTTTTTCTAAGACAGAGGCTCTTCTTTAGACAGTTGAAGGAAACTGGTGAAATTGATATTAGCTTTTTATGCGACCTTGGAATAATGAGCTTGGATGCTCTATCTTGGTAAACCACTGGTGGGTTGGATTAAGCAATGTGAAATTAATTTCCTATGATTTTAAAAAGAGGTTAATACAATAATTTGCTCTGGGCATACAGGATGCCTCTTAGAATGTTCAGTAAAGATTAGTTACAATCACTCTGCTGTTCGAGATTAACTCAGGACTTGAAACATAAACCTATATGGACTGGTCTTCTCCTATTTTTGTTGCATTTTAGAATGATATCAAGAGGATTGATGACACATATTTTCTTCTTCTTGGCTATATCCCTAGTATTTGGAATCTATCAAAATATCAACAATTGTGAATTTTCCAGTCACAAAGTTGGTTAAACGAATAATACAACATAGGAACGAAAAATCTTCCCTGATTTGCAGCAGTACATGTGTGTTGTTGATATGTAAGGTTTGTCAGCATTGTCTTTTTTTTTTTTTTACTAGAAATAAGACTTTTTCAGCAACATGGTCAAAATTCTATTTATTTTAGTTTCTAGACCATTTTTATTTTTTCTTGTTACATTTACCACTTTTGAGGCTGTGTTCATCTTTTAATGCTATTTTATGCATTTTTGAAATAAAAATATATAAAAGCATAAAATCTGTTCAAAGACAAGGAATATAAGAGTGCAAAACTAGGGCCTCAGAAGATAAAAATTCAAATCCCCACACAACACTGAGCTGTCTGGATGATATTACGCCTGTCACCACTACTCAGGCCCACATTACATGGTTACTATAAGATTAAAATGGGAAAACGGAAGAATGCACACAATGAGCAAAATTTCTTGAAATCTATAATAGGATAAATAAAGCTCTGTATGGCTTTATTTATTTGACCTAGCTTCCTTTTGCAGTAATAACATTGATATAAACAGAGAAAATAATCCCTTCAATGTGATTCCAGGCTGCTGAGCTCTTTCTAACCTCACACAATTGGTAATCCACTTGTGTGTGTGTGTGTGTGTGTGTGTCAGAGTGCTTGTCAGCCATAGGCTGCAGAAGGAACAAGCCACAATCTCCACCTCCTTCTGCTGCCATCCTGTCAAAACAAAGGCTCTGTTGCCAAGATTTGGCAGAAAGAAGGAGGTGGGTGAGCAGGAGGAGTTATAAGTGCTTGTCTCCAATCGAAGCATCTCCTTTACTCTCCTCCTCTCTCACATTCATTGGCACTACACATAACTGGATAGGGAGTGCTGGAATCGCTTCCTCGCAAACCTCCCCCTGCTGCAAAAAAACAAAAAGCAGGATTGTTTATCTCTTAACAAATACAGTGGCTGCTAAAAGCAGACTTTGGTTCTGTGCCTAATTTTATGTTTACATGAGAAGCAGTTGCAGCAGCATTTTACCAAGCAAATAACACAATGAAAACAAAAGCTGGCATAGCCTGCTGGGCTTGAGTTTTCTTGTCTCTCTGTGTTACTTTGCACTGATGTTCTGCTTTGTCTCAGGGGTGTATCTTTTTATGACTGCTGCCAAAACAATTTTCTTACTACTGCAAAGAACTTGAGCAGAGCTGGTCAAACACTCCCTCTTTCTGTGCACACTTCTGTGTTCTAGTGGCTAAAAACACTTCTTTCAAAACATCACACACTAGGAATGTGCATGTTAAAGGATGGACCCGAAACTTGAAAAAAATTATCAGACTGGTGATGGGATTGCAAGCTAGTAGACACAAAGAGGAAACAACTCTGAAAGCAATCACCAGAGTGTTAAAGACACAAAACAGAGCAGAACAGGTGACCCATTCCCTAGCCTGGTGCCTTGCAGATTTGTTGGACTGCAATTTCACCACGACTGCAATGATCAGAGCTCATAGGTTGGAGGACACCAGGTTGGGTAAACCTATTCAAGGGCAGCAGAACAGAAATGAGTCACATGGAATGATGACAAATGATTCCAGTGGAGAAACTGAGCTAAGCTTTGCAAAGTAAAGACCAAAAAGCAAAACAAAGACAAAGAAAGGTAAACTGAAAAATACTGCTGTGTAGAGATTCCAGAGGCAATTAAAGGTGTCCCACTAAGCAGTTGAATGAAGGAGAGAAAGGGGAGAACTGATCTCTGACAATTGTTAATAGGGACTAGATTTTAGCATGTTTTGCATCATCATCCCAGAGTTGGGACAAATGAAGTTAAGATCTAGTGAAGATCTGACCAAGACCAACACTAAAAAAGTTTTTACCCTAAATATTCACAGTTGTTCCACACAACCACAATTTCCAGGAGAGTTCCATTTTCAAGCAATTCGATATTTGACATCTGATATTTTTAAAGCGTATGTAGTATTTCGTACATAGAATTCTAACTGATCCAACAGAACTAAAACCACTACATTTGTAACGCAAATTAAAACCATGGATATGTGCAAAGAGAAATAATTAATCAGAATTAATTGCTCTCTATAAACACAGGAGTAAGCAAGCAAATCACTACTTTTCCGATGAGAAAACAGTTGCCACGCTCAACACAAATAGGAAGGCCAACGAGAAAGGGCACACGCGTACCCTCAAACAGACCACCGGCCCAGCCGTTCCGTTTCAGGGCCTATTTGTTCCGCTTTCTAAAAGCGCCGGCTGCAGCCCAGCGAACCACTCCCGCACCTCCCCTTCTGACGGCAACTGCAAACTGCAACAGCAACATCTTTGGGCGCCCTCTAAGGACAACAGCAAGTGCGGCGACCTCTGTGCTGGACGTCGGTGCAATCCCTTCATCTTGTCTGTTTTATCTCCCCAACCCCTGGGCCGGCTGGGTACCTTGCAGGCAGAGTAAACTCCCAGCTTCTCTAGCTTCTTGGCGCGGGGTGCGGAGCGGAG